GGCAACGAGCTTTAGGTGCGTTACCGCCACTTCCAGACTGGAGTGTGGATCAGAACGGCCCCTACCTACCACCACACCAAAATAACCCTTCTCAGTTCACCTTATATTATCTTGTGTAACCCTGTGCTCTCTAAAAACCTAATAAGTGCTCTGTATCCTATATTCCCTGACCTTTGTCCCAATGCATCCGGTAAACTAAAGTTCATCCCACCTCCTAAAACAATATTTTTTAAATAATTCCCTCTCCTGCCTGAACCTGGGACAACTCATTAAAACATGTTCCACTGTTTCTTGTACTCTACACATCTCACATTCCCCTGTAGTGTGTTTCTTGATTAACTTCAATGTAGTATTTAAACCACTATCCCTAAATCTCAATTTTGATACCATATCTTCATCTTCCTATTTCCAGTACTTCCTCTCATTTCTCCTGCTTTCCTTTGAATGTTATAATAGAACCGACCTTTGCCATTTTTAGCCCACAGCTCTTGCCATTTCTCTTTCAGTTTCCTTTTAATCAAACTCTTAACCTCAGCCTTACTATAGCTTACTTCCACACAAACATTTCTTTTTTTAGCGCAACTTTTGCAGATTCATTTCCCTCCACCGCAATATGTGCTAGCCTCTGACATCTGAATAGTATGCAAGCTATTTCCAGTATTATGTCTTGCCTTGAGAAGTCCATTTCCCCCACTACAATGAAAAATAAAATGATCTTGTATCTCAAAGTAATGACCTGAAAGTAATAAGATACTTTCTCAGTATTTTGACTTAGGCCTACCATTAGGAAGTAGCGTGTACAAGCTAGCTTTCTGTCATTGGACTGGCTTCCTTTTGTGGCCAGTGCCTGTTTTTAAACTTTAACAAAGAACTCATGCTTCAAAATATATACAACAAATAGATACATAAATACAGACAATTACTTTACTGATCGCGAGGGAAATTCACATATCCAGTAGCAACAGTAATGACAAAAGTAATAATAAAATACATGTCAAAATAACATGTCAATAATAACAAAATCACGGGAACCAAAGTAAAGATGTATAAAAGTTTAAGACTAAAATACAATGGAAAAATAGTATAAAAATAAATACGGGAAATTTGTATAAAAAGAGTATAGAGAGAGAGAGAGAGAGAGAGACAAGACAGAGAGAGAAATGTGTGCCAGATATACTGTTACAGTACGTGAGGACGGACCCCAGAGGCAGACACAGAGACCAGAGGAGTGGGAAACAAAGAAAGCTTTAGTTTTAATGAACAAAACACAGGTATTCAGGATGGCAGCAGACAAGCAGGTTTCGGGCAGGCAGGAAATGCAGAGGCGACAGGGGACCGGCGAGGGACAGACCAGGAGGACACTGGAACCAGAAGACGGGCAGGCAAGCCGGCAACGGTGAGGACACAGGAACCGGGAGACGGGCAGGCGAGCCAGCAACAGGGAGGACACAGGAACCAGAAGATGGGCAGGCGAGCCGGCAGCATGGACGACACAGGAACCAGAGGACCAGGATGACAGGTGAGTAGACAGGTGAGCAGCAGTAACCAAGAGGATTATCAGGTTCAAGCAGACTAATCACGGCATTGGAGCACTCGCTCCACAGCAGAGGAGAGCAGAGCAAGGAGGTTACTCAACACACTGGCGCAGCTCGATAGAGGTCGAGAGTTGAGCACATTGGAGAAGCTTGTTGTAAGTTGGGCGTCACGGCAGGTAACAGGCAGATGCCACGCTCACAGCACACCAGACATTCAGAGAGTCAACAAGGGTACAGATGGGTGGAAAATAACAGGAGACGAATGAAAGTATTCAGGCGCCGCTCGTAGCAAGACAATCAGGGAAAAAACTCAGCTAAGTGCCAGGCGATGAACAGATAATAAATCAAGAGTCCAAAGTGGATAATGCAAATATAAAACTAACCAAAGCCCAGCACAACCAGAGAGCAGTAATTCAGCGTAAACACAACAACATCGAGGAGCGAATTCAGGGCATGTGCAGATGAATGATCCAGCAACCAAACAGTGGGAACCAAGGTGTATAAATATGGGGCAGGACCGGGAGAACATTTCATTTGGAGAAAATCTGGGCAAAGGATCCATCTGCAGGAATAAGATATTATTCTAGGTTTTGAAGATAATCCATCCATCCATCCATCCATTTTCTTCCGCTTTTCCGGGACCGGGTCGCAGGGGCAGCAGTCTAAGCAAAGATGCCCAGACCTCCCTCTCTCCAGACACTTCCTCCAGCTCCTCCGGGGGAATGTCGAGGCGTTCCCAGGC